AGCTGTGAGAACTTTTAAGAACTGCTCTCCTACCAACTTTCAAATGTGCAATACGGTATTGTAAACGACAGCCACCAGCTGCACATTACAGCCCCAGAAACTGTTATAACTGGAGTTTGTGCCTTCTGACCACTGTCACCCATTCCATTTCTGGCAACTACCAATCTGTTCTGTTTCTATGAGTTCCATACCTTTTAAACAATTTACAGTTAAAGGAATAAGAAACGTGAAAAAGTAACAGTAGCTTTACTCTCCTTTGCTTGAGGAATGCTTCATGTATTTTTTTCAGGTCAAAAGATCCTTTTATTTTGAAATAATTATAAAATCCCAAGGGATAGCAGAAATGGTACCAGGAATCTAAGTCCCCTTCACCCGATTTCCCCAGTGGTGACATCTTGCTGTGGTTCAAAGTCAAAACAGGACCTTGATGTTGGCACACTGCTAGCTAGGCCACTGGAGGGGCTCAGTTTCCACCATGTTTATCTCGGGCGTAGACTTGTGAATCCACCACAAAAATCAAGATGCAGAACCCCTCCATCACCTGCTGCCTCTTTTTTTCGAGTGCCCGCCCACTCCCACTCACCTCTTCTCCATCTCCACGGTTTTGTCATTTTGAGATGCCATCTGGATGATATCATCCTGGATGCATCGTTGTGGGATGGACTTTTGTTTTCACCAGGCATAGTGCTTGGATCACAAGTTCATTCCTTTTCACTGCCGATCAGTGCTCTGTTTGCTGTACAGAGTTGTTCAGGGACTTCTCCAGTGAGGGACATTTGGGTTGTTTCCAGTCCACTATAATCAATCGGTCTGCTGTGAACATGAGTGCTCAGGTTTTTGTGTGAACATAGGAATCCATTTCTCTGGGCTAAATGCCCAAGAGTAAGACTGCTGGTCTTGGGTAAGTGCAGGGTCAGTTTTATTTATTTTTCTAAAATATAAATGAGAAACTCTAGATTGTGGGATGTGGATTTGGAAGCGACCCCAGGACAGGGCATCAGGCAATGCAATAGAGCCTGATAATAAATTACAGTAATAAATTACAGACGTCACACCTAACTTGGAGAGCAGAGAGAATTAAAGAGGCCAGAGTGACGGCTCTGAGAAATGCCTGCAGCTGGCCAAGGGTTTAGGGTTAGTTCTTAAATCTCCAGGTGAGAAAAACGTTGAACTAATCATGTCCTTTTAGCAAATAGGATAATTTAGGGTTAAGTGTGTAATTGCTGCAATTTGCATAAGCTTGAATTTGGTTAAAAATGAAATATTATGGCAATAGGCATATTGATTGAATATGTATTTCCTTTTGGGAGGCGGAAAGTACTTTGCAGATCACATGCTATATTACCATGTTGCTCCTTGAAAGGAAGCAGCCTGGGGATGGATAAGGCCGGCTGTGGGTGCAGGCAGCAGAACCAGTCTCTTGGGCACTTGGCCTTAGTCTGAAGGGCCCACACTTAGTTTAATTCTCTGTTGTTGAGAGGGCGAGGGCTATGCTCTCCATCTTACCCTGGATCCTCCATTTTTGGGCAGCAGCCTTAGCCATGTGCTCAGCAAGGAGCTTTTTCCCGGAAGCCCAAGCCTCTGCTAGCCACACCTAGGATTTCTTTAAACTAACCAATGACAATCAAAGGAAGTGTGCGCCATAGACACAACCACATCCTTTGTAACAAGACCCTGACTTGCATCTGGCCAATCGGCAGGGCCCACAGTCATCTCTCCTCCCCTTACTCCAACCCCCCTATAAAACCCCTCTTCCCACAGAGCTAGCTCTCTCTCTGCCGTTTGCCGCTGCATCGGTGAGTGTGTGGGGGGAGCTCAAGCTAGCTTGAATAAAGACTCTCTGCTTTTGCATCAGACTCGGCACTCCCTGGTGGTCTTTTGGGATCCTGAATTCTGGGCTTAACATTTGGGGGCTCACCCGGGGTCCCTAAGACCCTCGAGGGACCCCCGATCTGGAGAGTCTGACTGACCGCGGTAAGTGTTTGTGTTTTGTGTGTTCTGTTCTGTGTGAGCTCACTTCATGAGGGACCAGTATTCCCCTCACAAGGGACGAGTATTCCCCTCGAGGATCTGAGACGAGGCAGGTCGCTCCCGCCGGTTGGTGTACGGCCATCGTCTAGCTTTCGGTTTGGCTTCCACGGAGTTGGAAGACTGTTTTGGTTTTGCTTCCATGGAGTTGGAAGACTGTACTCTTGGGCCGTTTAGTTGTCTGTGTTTGTGTTTTTTTCTGTGGACTTACTGGACGGACATTATGGGACAGACTCAAACTAGTCCTTTAAGCATTATGGTTATTTTAAAGTTAAGGGCTGGGCCAAACCTGCTTGCCAGCCTCAGGTGTGGTTTTCCAGAACCGCTGCAGTGAGCCTTGAAGCCTAGGGCACGGGCCCGGGTGGAGTTGCCGCAGGTGCAGATCTTGGTGGTAGTAGTAAATAATTTAAAGTCCTTGTAATTGAAAAGTTTTACAAAATTTAAAAATGCGTCTGGGATTTCTGTGCACGTGTAAAGAGAAAAGTGGAACTAATGCGCACATCGTCCGATTTCGGATATTAGATAGAGTTTTGAGCTGGAATCTCTTTACAAATGTACAAAATAGAACCCCAAAACTGATTATTTCCTAGGAAAGATGGCAAATTTTACCCAAAGGAAAAAAAAGATGCTGGCTCGATTTTAGCATCAGGATTGGCATTTCCATAATAAAGAACAGTTTTTAAATGCTAATGAAGGTTGTTAAAAGGTTGACTTCAAGGCCGAAAAGGAAATTCAGTAAAATTGTCTCTTTTATGGTAATTTGCTCAAGAATATGCCTTAAAATAATAATTTGGATTTGAATCTCAAGAATTATTGAAATATATTAATTATAAAAATCTAAGGAGCCCAGGTAAAAGATGGCTATGCCCTTTAATTAAGGCTGGCTTCCCAAGGCAATTTCTAGTGGAGGAAGGGCTAGCCTCCCTTCACCCAACAGAACAAGCAGGTAGGCCAAAAATTTCCCGTCAGTGGCAACTTCTAAAGACAGGTTTGCTTCCCAGTTTCTCATCCTTGGGAGAAAGAATGTAACTAATTTGCATTTTAATGGTTACCTGTTTCCAGTCAATGGCATCCCAAGGCTTTGGGAGTTTGCTAAATACTGATTGAGTAATGCTGAAGATTTGATTTGCCAGCTAAAAGTTTAAGGTTCGGATTGAATTGGGAGAAATTGTGTGTTGTGGTAGCTAAATGCCTTTGCTGAATGAATGTCTGGTGAAAGTATGTGAGTGTGGAGGGAGGGGCCCTGCCCTTTCCTCTCCTTTGTGTGGCTCCATGACTTTGGTCAGGTGGGCATCTGAGTGAGGATCTGTGAAAACAGGTCACCCCCTCCCTGTCTGTCTCTCATCACCGATCATCATGAGGTTGGGACAAAGTTGGGACTAGAAAGCTACTTTGGTTTATTCTACTTTCTGTTGATACGCTTGGCTTCTGTCTATCAGTTGCTCTTACCTGGGTTGTAAATTCGCTGTATTAAATTGAAATCTTGAAGTTCTAGGGTAGATTTAAAGGCTAAAATAAAGGCTGGCTAGGTTCCAAGATATTTGTTAAGAAAATAAAGAGAGAAGTCTTTTCAAGTTAACTATTTGCTTAGCGAATTATGGTTTTCTGATCTCATTGGTGGGCACAAAGGGCTTACAGTTCCGCAGGGTGGAGAGATTTACATAACCTGGTCTTTCCCTTCCTCCCTCATCCTGATTCATCTGTAAGTGATTTCAGGTGGCCTCTAGGCTTTCAACCGGCCTAGGCTGACACAAGGGAGGTGAGGGTGTTAGCAGTTCTGCAGACTGCTAGAAAAGTGGAGGAGGAACAAAGCTGAAGTCCACAGCCGCCCTGGTGATTTAGAACTGTTTGCTAGGCAGACTCAGCCCCTGGGAGCCAGGTCAAAGAAGGGGGGCTGAATGCCTGAATTGCCCCCTGCAATGCCTGAAGGAAGAGGCAACAGCGAGAGAGTGGGGAGAACAGGGGCTGTTGCCAGCGGTGCAGCTAAGGGCTCTCGGGCACGAACAGCTGCAGGCGAGCACTTCGCTGCTGGCTACATCCAGTGCATACATGAGGTGCACACATTCATATCCACGTGCCAAGCCATCAACGCCACTGTCACTGCCCAGTTCCTGAACCACCTGCTTGAGTCCATGCCACTGCAAGAGGGCAGCGGCTTCCGGGATTTGCTGGGGGACGCTCTGGCCGGGCCCCCCGGGAGACCCTAGGTGAAGCAGCTGGCTCACAGGAGGGGCTGATATCCCCTTCAAGTGCACTCCCTTGGAAGAGGCCTGATTGCTGCTCTGCCACAAAGAGAACTGGTAGAAAGGCAAGGAAACAGGGCCCTGTAACTAATAAACAGGGTTCACAAAAGGGCACTCTCCCTGGACCTGGGAGCCATCAGGACTTTGGGATTCTCCAAGGGAGGGGGAGCCTGGCTCGGAGACTGGCCGAGGCCTCGTTGGGTCGGGAGAACCGGAGGCTGCGTATTGAACTTATAGACTGCAGTTTGCTGCGCAGAGGCCCAGACCCAGTGGTATAGGGGTTAAGCTACCTGTGTAGAGCAGAACAACTTTCTCCTGTGCCAGAATACATTTTAAGGAAATTGGACGGACTGTGTTTATCGCTAGAAAGAAGGACTGGCCACAGTACACAGCCCTGACAGTAACCTGCAGAAAACTGTATAAAAGACTCAGATGATGCCTGCATCTTCATGGACATGGCTCCAAAGAGACAAGGACAATTTTGCCTTATATAGGAAGGTCAAGAGTAGACTTTAGTATCTCATGTTTAGTAGCAGAAGATTTAGCTGCCTGAAGCGGCCATGGTGTCAATATCATGTTTCATTGTATTAATATGTTGTGTAAGAGACAGTTGACAGTTGGCAGCCTGTATACTGTCTTGCAGGCCTGTGTGACCATGCCCATGTCAGGGGTAGTACAAACCTCAACTGTAGAAAACTGGGAAAGGCCTGTTTGGAATAAAAGGTCTGAGGCATGGTTATGCATAGAAAGAAAGTTTAAAGGCTAATTTAAAAGTACAGGCCAGTAAGCCAGAGAGAGTACATTCTGCCTCCCTAAACAGCGGGTAAA